GAGCGAATCCACTGTCAACTATAAGGAATTACATACAGACTTCTCAGTGTGCTACATTATTATTTTTAAAGATTTTATTTATTTATTCATACGGAACTGGGGTACAGGCCAGAGGTGCAGGGGCAGTGAGACGATTCACCAGAGACAGAATGGGAAGCAGAACAGGCCGACTGATGAAGTACACTGCTGAGGGGAGCAGCAGGTAGGTCAGGAGAGGTCTGCTGCGCCATGTGGTCACCTCTGGGGTGGGGATCAAACTCATGCAGAAGTGGCTTTAGCTTCTTAGTGCTATGCTTTAACCCACTGCGCCACCAGGGAGGGCCCTGGTTTTTTTTTTTTAAGTATCACAAAGAGCTGCTTTTTTTTTCTTTTAGCTAATTGACCACACTATGTGTTAACCAAAACATTCATGCAAGTAAAAAAGTTTTCAGAATGGGTGCTGGGAAAAGAAAATAAGAAAGTTAATGGAGCTTTTGTTTTCAAGTGCACAGGGCTTATGCCTGGGCTTATATTTATCCCTTTTGTAATAATATGATGCCATGCACATAGAAGTTCAATAATACTTGGTCAGTGAATAAATAGGCAAAATAAGTGAATTTGAAATAATTCAGGGAGTTAGTAATTAAGATGTTATAAAAACTGACATTTTAAAAATCTCTTTAAAGTTTATAAAATATTTCTCATATAGTCTTATTAATAACTTTGAATATCTCACAGTGGCAACTGGCTTGGAGCAATTAAGAGATTTGCTTTTGAAGTCCTGATCCCCTTTCTCCAAAGTTTGAACGATTGGTACTTGAATCTCAAGTACCAATGTTACTTCTGAAACAGTATCCACCCATGAAACATATCCACCAGCAGAGGGCACCAGAACATGACTGGGTCTAGGAGGAAGACAGGTTTGAGTACTGGGCCAGCAAATTTAAGAGTGAGGTGACCTAGGGCAAATTCATTTTTCTGAGCCTTTTCTGTTAAATGTTGATACTAATGCACCCTCCCTTGCAGGGTGGTTATTATGGTTAGAAATAATATGTGGCTGGCACACACTAAGTGACCAGTAAATCATATTTCTAGTGATTTTGTAAGGACATCACAGAACAGTCTGGAGGCTAAATAGATGTTGATTTTTTTAAAAAAATATTTATTTATTTGTGCATACAGAACTGGGGTATAGGCCAGAGGTGCAGGGGCAGTGATAGGATTCACCAGAGACATAGTAGGGAGCAGAACAGGCCCACTGATGAAGTACACTGCTGAGGGGAGCATTGGGTCAGGAGAGGTCTGCTGCACCATGTTGGTCACCTCTGGGGTGGGATCAAACTCATGCAGAAGTGGCTTTAGCTTCTTAGTGCTGTGCTTTAACCTGCTGCACCACCAGGGAGGGTCCAGATGTTGATTCTTTTTTTCCTTTTTATATAATAGTTTATTTTTACATCATTTTGTGCATTTTTTCATCTCAGTTGTACTCCCCATGGGCTTCCCATCACCAAATCCAGATGTTGATTCTTATTTGATGATTTTATAAGTATTTGAAATTAGTTTGAGCTCTTGACACTTAAAATAGGCAAAGAGAAAGTTTTATTTATTTATTATAAAAGAATTATTCATTTTGCATACAAAAACTGGGGTGTAGGCTAGAGGTGCAGGAGGTGAGAGGATTCACCAGAGGAGCAGAACAGGTGGATACACTCCTGAGGGAAGCAGCAGGGGAGACAGGAGAGGACTGCTGTGCCATGTGGGTCAGCTCCCTGCACCACTAGGGAGGCCCCAAAGATAAAATTTTAATATCCAGTTCTCATAAGAGTATGAGGAAGGACATTGAAACAATCTTTCTAGACAGAGAGCCTTAAAAACATTGTTGACATTGCCCCCAGCTTCTATTTAACCCCCCCCCCCCAAAAAAATTCAATGGCAGCAAGATTCGGAAAAACAAAGTCTGTATCATCAGCATGGCTTACAGTTAGGAAAGAAGAAGCAACTGAAATTTTCCATACAACATAGGGACAGTTTAAGAATTATTGTCCCCAATCAAAGTGAACACTATGCAGTCATTACAATGATGCCTCAGAAAATTATTGTAAGTGAAAATATGATTGCAACACAGCAAGCAAAAATATCACAAGACACAGACAGCCTGATCTCACTTTTGTTTTAAAAAATATACAGGCTGGATACAAAAATTTTAGCTGTTATTTCCATAGGAGATGATATTGTTAATGCCTTTTATTTATTTATTTTTTTCACATAGCTGATTATCTTATTCTCTAAACGTTCTGCAGTTAACATTTATCACTTTTGTAATAAATACAGCTTCTGCATGTACATGAACATAGTTGGATGTCCTTCATTTAACACTGCCAGCACTACCAGGCCAGTGGTCATGTAAATTAAGTTAATTTTAAAAAGTGGCTTAAAAGTGTAAGGTAGTTAGTTGCACAAAGTAATTAAAATTCTAATGAAATTTCAGAGTTGGTCAGCAAGCTTGGACTTAGCTCCTATATAAGGCTGCTATAAATAGCCACTAAGCCCTAGTTTTTCAAAAGGCCTAAAAATGGCATAAACTAAAATTTGAACAATTGTTCATGTGAAGGGCCATGTGCCATGTTTGCTCTGAGCAAATGTAACCTGAAACTCACCCATATCTCATACTCCAGGTTGGCGCATCTCTCTGCAAGGGTGTATTTGCTCTCCATTACTCACTTTACTTTCCTGAAACTTGAAATGGAGTGGAATTTCAATGTAGGGTTACCCATTACTCCAGGGCTAAATTTAAACCTTTAATTAAATTAATCTGTTGCTCTTAAATACATTGTGTCTCCCTCTGAAAAATAAAGAGGTTTCTTAGATGTCCTAGAGTTTAATTCAGTGTGAATGATTGTTCCTTATTGCTTTTGATAAGTCATCTAAAGCGTATAGGGGAACCGCAGATGTTTTCAGATGGCTTTGGTCCCCCCCCCCACACTTGTTGGGGGTTAGGGTTGGGGTAGGGGTGCAACATTTTGTGCAATGCCAGCTCAGCAATGGTCATGAGTCCTTCTGCAGAACTTTTTTTTTTTAAGATTTTATTTTGTTTATGCACAAAGAACTGGGGTACAGGCCAGAGGTGCAGGGGTGGTGAGAGGATTCACCAGAGAGAGTGGGGAGCAGAACAGGCAGACCAACGACATACACTGCTGACGGAGCAGCGGATGTGACAGGAGAGGTCTGCTGCGCCATGTGGGTCACCTCAGGGGCCCAGGATCCAACTAGCTTTGAAGTGGCCAAGACCAGTTTCGAAGTGCTGTGCTGCAACCTGCGCCACCAGGGAGAGCTCTCTGCGGGACTTCTTAAGTTTTTCTGAAATAAATGACAGCAAGTAAGTTTATGCGGAAGAAAAAGTGATCATAATGCATACAAGTTTGCAAGGTGACAAAGGAAAAGTGTGAGGCCACCTTCACCTTCACCTTAGCCTCTGAAAACAGCACATTTCAGAGTCAAAGTAAAAAAAATAAGTGCCAGATCCATCCAATGGAGATATGTAAATTAGTCTGGCCTCAGGGAAGATGTTCCCACACCTGCAGCTTTATGCACCCCAAAACATACATTTATCTCAGCGGGTACATCCTCCTGCCTGCAAATGAATGAGACACAACTTCCATGGTCAACAACAGCTGTACGGTGGGACAGTTCACGTAAGGGGGTGTGGATCTTTCCTTGTAACTATTAACAAGAACCTATTTTTCCAAGCACAACAACAGTATGGGGTTCAGCTAACTACTTTGCGGGCTGTCTCTGCGTTGCTCCAAGTAACTGTCCTGCGGACCCAAAACTCTCCTGGGGCCACATCCTCTCGTAGTGACTCCCACGGATATGCTTGCACCCCCAATTCCCAGTCCAGTCCGAGGGAAACGTGCTTGCCTCCCGCTTCTGGCTTCAGCGCCTTGGGGAAGCCACTAACTCCGCAGGAAGCTCGGAGGTTCTGGACCGCCCCGCGGATCTCCCGCCCGCCACCCTCTCAGCTTTCCCTTCCTCCTGCTCTTCCTCCTCCTCCTGCCCCCTCGCCTCCCGCCGCCAGCCTCTGCAGCCTGCGGCTTTGTTTTCCTCCCAGGTTTCATTACCCACACGTGATACCGTGTTATTGCAAAAAGCGCTTAGGAGCGTGAGCGCAGGGTGCGTGCACCTATAAATACGGACACCCGGGAGAAGCCGGAGAGCCAGGCGCAGGGAAGAGTCCAGGACCGAACGCCAGGCGGCCAGCTAGCCAGCCAGTGAGCGAGCCGCGCGTAGATCCAGGCAGCAGCGCCCCCCGCCCCAGCACCGAG